TACTTACCAGGCTTATAACTTTTTACCTTAAACTAAAATTTTCCAACTCTTGAGTCCCCTATCAAAATGTTTGTGGAAGGGTATGTAAAGCAAGAAAGAGCAAAGGGCAGAGTGTTTGGGAACACTAGAATTTAAGAGGTGGACAGAGGGCACAGAAAAGGAGACAGAAAAGGAGTTGTCAGGAGCAGGAGAGCAAGGACACATGGGACATGGAACCCCAGTAAGTAGAGTCGCAAGGATATGTCAGTTAGTGTAATAGGGTGCAGCCAAGAGGGGGGCCCCAAATAAGGATTTGGATTGGGGTCCAGAACTCAAGGTGTCCAGGAAATATTAGGATGTCCTCACCCCTTCCCCCCACAGGTGTGAGCTGAGGGAAGGGACACATGGAGTAGGGCCATTGAGAGCTGTTTTGTATAGCAACAGCTTTGCAGCTAACCTCTGGCATGATCATTTAACATATCTATAACCTTTAACTGGTTTCATAGATAAGCTAAACAGCTGTGGACCTGCTTTGAGCCAGGGAGAAGGGAGGGACTTCCATCCAAGATGTGACAGGGGGCAGGTCCCCTCTGATTACAGCACCTGCGTGGGAGCTTGGAGATGATTGGCTCCACGCCATGGGGCCACGCCTGCCTAGACTCACTATGGCAGCCCAGTAAAGCTGGAAGGATATGAGAGTGCTGGCAAGTGTAGTCGATTGTGGGAGGGGTTGGAAATTGGGCTGCCAAGAAGGATTGGTGCGAGGATTTAAACCTAGAGGAGGCAGCCATGTGAGGAGAGATCCACGTGGTTTCGCCAGAGTGCAGACCCTTGCAGCTTAGGTGAAAGGGGAACCATGCAGCTTTGCCAGAATGGGGAATCATTATGTGGCTTTAGCAGAAAAATGCCACTCGGCTTTGGCAGAAATGGCGAACCGGCACCTCTTCGCAGCCATTGTGGAGAGAACCACGTGGTCTTGGCAGAGTGGAGGACCCCCCCACAGCTTTGCAGAGGAGAACCACGAGGCTTGATCCTGGCTGATGACACAGCAGATGGTGCCAGGAGCCTGAATCTACTTCTTTTCCTGAGATACAGTACCCCAAATTAGGGCAGAAGAAGAAGGAAGCACTGTGGGTGTCTGTGGGTATCCAAAAAGGACTTTGATATTTTAATGAAGACATTAGGTCACTATTTTAAGTCTGTATAGCTTTAAATAAACATTTCCTTTCCTTTTCACAAACCTCTGGCTTTGAGAGACGTCTTAATTATGGCCACGGACAATTGAACCTACTGTGGGGGTCCTTTCGGTAATAGTATATGGTACCCCCCTTGGCCCTGTGTGTGAGGTCTGTAACATTAGCAGGAAATCAAACAGGAAATGATTCAAGAAAATAATGACTAGATCATTCAGAGGTCTTTGCTACCTTGGTGAGAGCAGTTTCAGTCCCTGTCCCCTCCCCAGATCATCCTCTCTCCTTAAGGTAAGTGTGCAGTGTCAACCACAGACCAAGCTGCATATTGGGTCCTGGCCGGGTGGTGTGGATCTGGAAGGCCCAAACCTGGGGCAGAAGCTGCAGGTCACTGGGGTAGTCGGCCTCCTGAAAGGCACAGCGGGCACTCAGCAAAGGCTGCCAGGCAATGCAGATGAGCCTGGCTATTTCTTTTTTTTTTTTTAATAAAGTTGATAATTTTTTAAAAGATTTTATTTATTTATTTTTAGAGAGGGAAGGGAGGGAGAGAGAGAGAGAGAAACATCAATGTGCGGTTGCTGGGGGTTATGGCCTGCAACCCAGGCATGTACCCTGGCTGGGAATCGAACCTGGGACACTTTGGTTCCCAGCCCGCGCTCAATCCACTGAGCTACGCCAGCCAGGGTGAGCTCAGCTATTTCCTTATAATTTTGTTTCTGGCAAAGCCCTACCTACTTAAAAGAGGCCTTTCCTCAGGAAAATGAGGGCATTTGCTTTCTGATTCAGGTACCCTTGGTGAATTAGGGCAGTAGGTGCCCATTGTCTTGGGGCCTGCTGTCCTCTCATTAAACAGAACTTGGAAATTGCAGATCAGTGAAGCTGGGAAAAGGAGTCTGGGGGCAGAAAGGTTCTTCTGATCCCCAGACCCTTCCTGATCACCAACCTTTCACCCTGTTCCCAATTGCGAAACTACCACACAGAAGTACAGTGTGTTAAGAGTGTGTGTGCATGACCATCTGTGCATGTGTGAGAGGGTTCACTTCCAGGACAGCTCAAGCCTTATTAAAAGCTTGCAGTCACAGTTAGTGGAAATGACCTAGGCTAATTAGCCCCGAGTCAGAAAACCTGCAATCTAATCCCAGCTTCGAGGCTGCTCTGTGACCTCAGGCACCTGCTCTCTGAGCCTGGTCTCCTCTGTGAAATGAGCATACGGGATAGATGATCTTTGAAGTTGCAACTAGTAACAAGCCCATGATGCTTTGACTCATTGCTTCAGGTGAGGGACTTGAGAGTATGTCTGCAGGTTTGTAGAGTGGTGGGACAGGAATGGAAATGGAATTCGGGTGTCCGTGTCCAAGCACCAGCAGGGTTTAGCACAGAGACAGGGCACCTGAACTGTCAATCAAAGAATTCCCTAGGAGAAGAGGGTGGTACCTACTTGCCGGGTAACTCAGGAGGCTCTGAGTAAGTAGCCAGAAAGGTAATTCTAGCCAGAGGGACCATTCCAGAAAGCCAGCTGCGGAGAAGATCGAAGGAGGTAAGGCATTTTATGGCTGGGTCCCCCAAACCCAGTGGAGGTAGCCAGGAATACCCCAGGGATAAGGGCCTTCAAGAAGCAGGATTTGAAGGTATTATTAGGAGCAGGAAAAGTTCCTTTTTTAAAAAAAGGCGGTTGTATCACCTCTGCCTACCTCTCCTAAAACTGGGAATAGAGGGTGGGAGAGAAAGGGGGAGGGGCTGAGAGCTCAGTGCCTAGGTCTTTTTCACCCTTTGTCTTTTGGGAGGAGAGGTTATGAAAAGGTTCCACCTTTATGGGGAAGAGACACCAAGGGGTAACACATGCTGATGAGAGAAACGTGTTTGGATCTAGGAGCGCCCTAGAGACCAGAGCAGGATGTTGGGAGACCGGAATTGGCCAGCAGGCAGAAAGCCGAGGAGATAGGGGAGAAAGGAGCTCCTACTGAGGTGAGTGGAGGGGGCGGGGAATAAAGAGAGAATCCTCACTCCTAGAGGCTAGTTCCTCGCCAATTCAATAGCCTCTTCAGCTTTGTGACCCCAGTGCTTTTTATGGCTCCTGGTACATAGCAGGAGCTCACTGAGTATTTGTTAAACTGACTCGAATCATATCTTAATATTAGATCCACTCACCTGCATTGTGAGTGGATGGTGGGTGTATGTGGAGGCACCGGGTGAAGGAGATGATGGAGGAGAGACCCTATATTGGCTCAGTTTATTCATCAATTCATTAATTCATTCAATAAACATTTTATTGTATTCAAATACATATAACATAAAATATATAGTTTTTAAACCATTTTAAGTGGCACTGTTGTGCAACCATCAGACCACCTATCTCCATAACCTTTTTGTCTCATTTGATAAATGTTTATGGAGAATCTACTGTGTGCCAGGCCCTTTAAGTTGCTCCAAATCTAATAGGGGAGACAGGCAAGAAAGCGAACAAAGCCGACCTAGTGTGACAAATGCCATAAAAGGCATAAGGTTGCTATGGGTGTCCAGAAGGACCCAGTTGGTTGAGGGGAGGGGACTTTGTCTTTTTTTTTTTTTTTAAGATTTTATTTATTTATTTTTAGGGAGAAAGAGAAGGGGAGAAACTTCCATGTGTGAGAGAAACACCAATGTGTGGTTGCCTCTTGCAAGCCACCAACCGGGGTCCTGGCCAACAACCCAGGCATGTGCCCTGACCAGGAATCGAACCTGTGACCTTTTGATTTGCAAAACAATGCCCACCCCACTGAACCATAGCAGTCAGGGGAGAGGGTAGGGGACTTTCCAAAGGAAGGTATTACTTGAACTGCGTTTTGAAGGAGGACTAAGAATTAGTCAGGATATTAGAATTAGTTGATTTGGTGCCCAGTGGGATAGATGAAAGCAAAGTGGGATGGCAGAGAGAAATTTTTGAAACCCTGAGGTTTACACCAAGGCAGGGGTAGAACTAAATTGCCCTGGAGCAGTGATTTTCAACCGGTGTGCTGTGGCACTCTGGTATGTTGCAAGAATTTTTAAAACATGCAATATGTAACTAGTCAGGGGCATGGACCTCTTTTCCCTAGATTTTCAAATGAAAAAATAACAGAAAAAGTCCTGGCTGGCGCAGTTCAGTGGATTGAGAGTGGGCTGTGAACCAAAGGGTCGCTGGTTCGATTCCCAGTCAGGGCATATGCCTGGGTTGCAGGCCAGGACCCCGGTTGGTGCAAGAGGCAACCACACATTGGTGTTTCTCTCTCTCTCTTTCTCCCTCCCTTCCCCTCTCTAAAAATAAATAAAAATAAAATCTTTAAAAAAGAAAAAGAAACCATATTAAAAATAATAATAATAAAAAATAAATAAAATCTTTAAAAAAATAACAGCAGCCCTGGCTGGTATGGCTCAGTGGATTGAGTGCTGGCCTACAAACCAAAGGATCACTGGTTTGATTCACAGTCAGGGCACATGCCTGGGTTGCTGGCAGGGTCCCCTGTGGAGGGTGTGCAAGAGGCAGCCACATATTGGTGTTTCTCTCCCTCTCTTTCTCCTTCCCTCACCGTCTCTCTGAAAATGGATAAATAAAATCTTTAAATAAATAAAATCTTAAAAAATAACAGCAGACAATACAGCAATAGCCACCTGGTGTGAATGAATCAAAATTATACCTATTTTTTTGTTAGATAGGCAAAAAATATAAAACATTTTTTGGTGTGCCACAGAATTTTAGCAATTAGTTTATCTGTGCCATGAGATGAAAGAGGTTGAAAGTCGCTGCCCTAGGGGGATCCTGCTTTGGAGGAAATGAAGGGTGACATTGAACCCTGTGCTTCCATTGTCAGTACTATGTCTTCCCCCAACCCGGAGGATACCCTGCAAGAACCTGAGCCCAAGCCTTCAAGCTCCAAGAAGAAAAAGAAGAAAAGAAAGTGGCAACAGCTAGAGGCCAGCATCCAGGCCCTCACCAGGGCTGGCCATGGGGCCCTCCTGGCTGGCTGGAACCATGAGGCCTTGACCAGCTTCCAGAGGGCCTTCCTCCTGGCCTCCAGGGTCCCACAAAAAAGAGACACCTCTCTTCTTCGGGCTTGTGCCTTCAACCTGGGTGCTGCCTATGTGGAGACCGGGGACCCAGGCAGAGGCCTTGGGCTGCTCCTAAGAGCCCAGCCTGAAGAGAAGGCACAGGGCAGGTGCCATGGTGACCAGTGTTTCAATGTGGCTTTGGCCTACCACGCCCTGGGCAACCTGCCTCAAGCTTTGGCCTGGTACCACAGGGCCCTGGGCCACTACCAGCCACTAGGTGACCAGGGGCAAGCCCAGGCAAAAATGGGAGCCTGCTACCAGGCTCTGGGACAGCCCGAACTAGCAGCTCACTGCCTACAGGAAGCAGGCAGGACCTATGCCCACGCAGGACAGCCCCAGGCTGCAGCCCTGGCACTGGGGGCCGCGGCAGTGTGTATGCTGAAGAGTGGGCAGCACAGCGTGTGGGAAGTGGTGCAGGTGCTGGAGGAGAGTCGGAGGCTTGCTGAGATGAGTACTGAGCGAGGACTGCTGGGTGAGGTCTTTGGTCAAGATGTGTGGGATCTGGGGAGATTCAGATCTAGTGATACCCTGAGAGGTGGGGTGGAAGCAGAGGCATTTCTGAGGGATGGGGAAGGGAATTGGGGGGACCCTGTAAGAATGGGAGGGCTATGCCAGTATAGCCTCAGTTGCATCTGACCTGGCTACCAGTGACCCTGGCCTTGCCCTCTAGGGCAACTCTATAATGACCTAGGCCTGAGCTACTCCCAGCTGCAGCTGTTCCCACTAGCAGCAGAGGCCTTCCTGCAGGCCCTCCCCTTATGCCGGGGACTAGGGGAGAAGGCCACGGTTCTGAGAAACCTTGGAATGGCCCACAATGCCCTTGGCAACTATCAGGAAGCCCGGGAGTTTCACCAGAAGGCTGCTATCCTGCATGGTGAGTACTAAGGGCTGAGAAATGGGATTGAGACTAAGGGAGTAAGAGGGGATTCCAGCAGGAGCCAAAAGGCTGAAGAGTAGATGGACCTTTAGGACTAGTTATAGGATGGGGAAGCCCAGAACCTGGGGGGTGGCAGGGGGTGAGTGCTGGGGATACAGGAGGTGGGATAGCCAGAAAAGATAGAGTTCTGTGGGCCCAAAGGCTGAGGTCTAGGGCTGGGAAAGCAGCATGGGCAGAAGGAAGAACTGTTAATATCTGTACTGCCTGCCTCACAGGGATGTTGCATGGCTCATAATAGCCGGGGGGAGGCATTCAGGCCAAAACTCAGGACCAAGGAGAAGCTGGTTATGCATATTGGAAGTCTGGGGCTCTGTGGTACATCTGAAGGTGTGCTGGGGCTGAGCACCGGGACTCCTGCAAACCCTCCCTTGGTAGTTTGGGGATAGGGTCCTGATGCCTCAGTGGCCAAGGCCCTCTCTTAGAATTGGGTGGGCTCTGTCATCAGGCTCTGTGGGGCAGCGGTGGGAGCAAGGTCGGAGCTTTGGCAGCCTGGCATTTGCACTGAGCCAATTGGGGGACGACAAGGCGGCCAGAGACAGCTACCTACATGCACTGCAGGCTGCCCAGGACACTGGTGAGGATGAGGAGGTTAGCAGAGGCTTGGGGGTGGTGGAGCAAAGGCTGAGATTCCTTGGGGCTAGTGGGGAGGCAGATGGGGGTGTTGGGGTGGGAAGTACCTCTGCAGGGAAGGGTTAGTCGACTAGGAGCCATAAAAGGACCTCTGAATCTCTTCCCCAGGAGACATGAAGGGGCAGTGGCAGGCCTGCGAGGGTCTGGGGGCTGCTGCAGCTAGACTGGGGCAGCATGATCAGGCCTTGAGGTACTATAAGGAAGCACTGGCCCGGTGTCAGGTGAGACCCTCCATCCCAGAATCTAACTGTTCCTACAAGCCTTCCAGGGAGCATTCTCTGGAACATTCCTGCCTCATGTCTTGTCTTCTTTGCATCATTCATTCACTCATCAACCATGCACTGGGCATGTTGTGTGCTAGGTCCTGGGACACTGTTGTAAGAGTTCGTCTCTATACACAATTCTGGACAGGACCCTGGCAAAGGCATAGGGATGGGACAAAAGAAAAAGAAGACAAAGCCCCCTTCCCTCCCTCCTTTCCCATTTCTTTCTTCCCCAGTTCCCAGAGAACCACAAGCCCATGCCTTCCATATCATGCCATTTTCCTCCCTCTTCCCAGAAGGAGCCAGACTTTGTGCGAGAGCGGCTAGTGGCGAAGCTGGCAGATGCCATGAAGACCCTTTTGGCCCAGGGTGGGCTGGACCCGACTCATACCCTGGTGAGATGACACCTGAGACAAGGAGCTGGGGATAGGGAGAGGTTGCCGGGAGAAGGGAGAGTGTAGAGGTAAGCAGAGCTGATGTTCTCAGGGATGCTGTGCCTCACTGCTCTCCCGTGTTCATCTGCCCCTGGATGAGCATATGGTACACGTATCATTTTCCCAAGGACACCTGGGGGTGGTGTGGGGGCAGGGGGTTGTAGCACGTGTCCAACACCAGGGCTTTGCCAGGGCCTTGGCTGACTGTGAACCAGCTCAGTGAGTGAAGGCCAAGGGGTGCAAATAAGGACCCTGAGTGTCCTGTCCGGGTTGCTTAGTTGGTTAGAGCATTGTGCCACTACACCAAGGTTTTGGGTTCAATCCCTGGTCAGATCACATACAAGAATCAACCAATGAATATATAAATAAATGGACCACCACCAACACCAAAAAAGTAGGTGTTTCTCCCCCTTCCTGTCTATAAACAAATGAACAAATAAATGGACCCTGAGCCACACCAAGAAGTGGATTTTTAGTCCATGGCTGTAGTTCCCCAAAGGGCTACACAATGCAGACAGTGCTCCAGGGAAGTCCCTCTCTCCCATCTCTGGTTCTCTGGGCCCATTTCTCTTTGGGTCTCCACCGTGCTCCTCTCCTCCTGCTCCTCCTCCCCCTCCCTCTGCCTCCCAGCCTCTCTTAGCAGGTTGATGTCTCTCCAACTGTCTCCTTCCTCACCCTCTGAGATACCCTCAGGAAGCCTCCCATCTCAGGAGTTGAAATTTACTTTAGTATTTATCATACTTATTTAATATACTTTATGTCTTCTCTTATTTTAAAGACTAGGACACTCTATATAATTTGCAAGCAAAAGTTAAATTAGGCTGACACAGAAAGAGGACTGGACTGGGAGTCAGAGGACCTGGGTTCCATCTAAAGCTGTCCACCAACTTTCTGTGACTTTGCTCCTGGAGGCCCCAGGTTGGGGGGGGTTAGGCTTTGGCCACATCTGACAGTCCATGAGCTTGAGCTCTAATGCGATAGTTACTAGTGGGGCCTTGCCAGAGCAAAGGGCCTCACCTTGAAATCTCATTCTCAGACATGTGGCACAGCCCCATTCTCTCTAGCACTTCTTCGCCTCTGGGGCCCTGTGTCTGGAGGGAGCATATACTCACGTGCACATCCACAGCCATTTTTCTCAAACTGACTCCCTTTCATTTCCAGACCTCAGCTCCAGGGAGGCCTCAGGCTCCAGGTGGAGCCGGCCCAGCAGGGACTCCAGCCAGGGTGGCAAGGGGCCCAGCAGAAGCGAAGTACAGGTGAGTGGGGTGGGATAGAGCGGAGCTTCTGGGATGGGTATGACCTCCGAGGGTGTTAGGAGGTATTGCAGCAATGCCGGGGAGGGTGGAGGGCTGGGACCTAGTAGGTGCCCCAGGGAGGAGGGGAATTAGCTGGGTGCCTCTCTGCCCCTTGTTTTCTGCCCCTATAGATCTTTGAGTGGGTGGGAAGACTAAGAGTTAGAGGAGGGCCATGAGGAGAAAGAGGAAGAGGGCTTCGTGAAAGTTCCCTGTGACTGGGTTGGCTTGTGCGGGGACTGGAGTGTGAGTACATGTAGGCTGTCCTGGCCGAGGGCAGCGCTCTCCCCATGCCCCTCATTTTCCTTACTGCCCCGCTTCCCTACCTCAGGTCTGACACCCAAAACCAGCCCTCTCCCCATTTTTGCTCCTCTTTCAAGACTCTGGCCCATTGTTCTTGAACCCTTTCTGGAATCACCTTTTCTCCCTTGCTTCTACAGCTTCCCTAACTTCTAGAACTGCACCTTAGAGCACCAGGGTTTGTTGGAAGCCCACTAGGTACCAGGTGCCAGTTACCCCGTACTTTTCTTACTCTAGCTTGTCTCTTCCCTCAAAGGCTTCCAACTCTGGCAAGCAGAGTTCCTTGCTGTTTGTTGACTTGAATTCACTGATATTTTCTTTTCAGAGTTTCCTTCCAGGCACTGCTAAATCATTTCCATGTTTAGCCTTAGATGATCCAGGGTAGTCATCACCTGTCCGATACAGGGCATAGTTTTTGGCTCTCCCTTCATGTATAGTAACCGACACATTCCCTGACACCCACCCTTGTTCTCCCAAAGTGTTCTCTTTTCCACCATGATGGTTCTTGGTTCAGAGAAGCCTGTGATGAATATGTCTGTCCCTCTCCATCCAAGTCCTGGACCTAGGACCCATTTCCTATTTGGAGACCAAGCTCCCCGCCATCCAGAATGGAGTACCCTGACATTCTGGTACCCAGTGGCCCCCAAGCCAGTAGGTGCGTCCTTGGGGAGGGAAGGAGGCCTGGAGAATGGATAAAGAGAGTAGGGAAGAATGTGATCACTGTTGAAGTTGGGGAAGATGTTGTCCGGTGCTTGGGAATACCCAGTGCCCAGAGCCTTTTTGTCTCTGCCCTTTAGCAACAACCTGAACAATGTTCACTCAGCTCAGGAGGCCTGGCATGTCCCCTGCCTCCTGTGTGGCCAGACTGTAGACCTCAGAGAAAGGGAGAGTCCCACTAAATGGGGGGATATGCAGCTTAAGTCTACTCCCTACTGCTCTGTAGCCCACCAGCAGAGGTAAGGTCCAGAGAGGGTGACAGAAGCTAGAGCCAGAGCAGGCTGCCTGTGCTCTTTCTACAGCCATTCCCACTGGCAAGCTCTGCCCTGCCTCCTTCAGGTCATTAAAACAGCCTGGGGAAACCCCCAGCAGGGACCCACAGAGGAGACCCACCACATCTGGCTTCTGCACGATCATGTGATCTCATTCTCCTGGCCTCAGTGGTGCTGCCACATACACTCCTGAGGAGTTTCTGGGACGAAGCCTCTTCCTCGTTGCTCAGCACTGCACAGACATGGAATACAACGCCGTCAGCAAGGGGGCTCCTGAGCAGGCTGGAAAAGGGCTTTGCAGTCTCAGCACTGAGGCTGTTTGCTTGTGGCTGAAATTTTTGGACTCAGTAGATAAAAGGGAAAAGGAAAATGGATGGTGAATCTTCCCCTTTCTTTCTGGATACAAACCTCATGATCATTAAGGCCCTTTCCAGTTCTAAAAAGCTTCTTGGCCAAGAGGCTTTGGAGTCAATGACTCTCTTTAGACCTCCATTTTCTCATTCAGGACATGGGATTATACTACTATAGAAGGTACATCTTAACCAACCTATGCACCCCACTGTCTCCATGTAACACAGCAGAGGCTGAGCGCAGGCCCCTGAGGCCTGTGGCCTGTAGGACAACTGCTGCCAGCAGCCACAACGATGATATTAAGTAAGCTTTATTGATTACTTAGCACATACCACCCATGTTCTAAGTGCTTCACAAGCATTTTCTCCTTTGATCCCATTTCACAAATGAGAAAAAGAGAGCACAAAAGCTACATAGCTTGTCTTCTCGGGTCACACAACTAACTAGTGGAGAAGCCATGATTCTAAGCTAGGTAGTGAGTTCCTTCTTCCATAATGCCGGGCAGTCCCACTCCCCCAGCTAAGCCATTGTTTACCAAGAGTAGGTTATGCTTGACACCAGTTGTGATTATACCAGCTGTATGTGCTATTATAATTTGTAATTTAATTAAATATTACATAAATTGATGAGCCAAGAGTGTGAAAACAAAGTTGAATCCTTAGAAGACTGGACTAAGGTGAGACACTAAAAACTGTTATTGAGCTCTGGCTGGGGTGGCTCAGTGGACTGAGTGCTGGCCTACAAACCGAAAGGTCCCCAGTTGGGGACATGCAAGAGGCAACCAATCACACATCGATGTTTCTTTTCTCCTTTCTCTCTCCCTTCCCCTCTCTCTAAAAATAAATAAATAAAATCTTTCAAAAACAAAACTGTTGTTGAATTAGATGTGGGCAAGAAGACTATTACAGATTGGGAGAAAATCACAAAAATCTAGATGAATTTTGCACTCAGATTGCTTTAAGCATGCCATTTATTTTTTGTTCCATCTTAAGGAAGCAAACTGCAAGGTATAAGTGATACATAACTTATGAGGTTTATGGAAGAGAATGGAGAAATACAACCATCGGCTCTGTTCTCAAAGAAGAGCCTGGCCACACTTTGACAGGTGACAAGTGAGTGTATTTTTTATTTTAAATTGAAATAAGATAATCTGCCCCTGATTATGTCATATTAGAGGCTTCTACTGTACTGTGAACTACTTCACAATGAGATTTTGAGTATTCATTAAAACATTTGTAGAGGACCTACTATGTGCCAGGCACAGAAGTAGGTGCTAGGGTCACAGCTGTTAATCTTCCTTATGTAAATGGAGTATATGATCTTGTCAGGCATTTGAGATGTCTTGATTAGGATGCAGGTTCACCAACTTTAACAAAAGCCAACAGAACAGTGCCTTTTTCCAGAGAGAACTTTATTCTCATCTCATATAAAGCAGTCCAGGGCCTACACAGTGGCTCTGCAGAGCCTGAGGAGCCAGGCAGGATGCTCCACCATCCTCACCTGGGATTTATATTTCATGGTCTAAATGGCTGCTCCATCTCAGCATAATACCTTCCTTCCAGCCACTAAGAAAGAGGAAGTGGAAGAAAACACTTTTTAAAGGATATGACCTACCAGTTGCATGTATCATTTCTGCTCAAATCTCATTGGTCAGAGTTTAATCACATGTGGATGGTTATTTGCTGCATGGGAGACTGGAAAATGTAATGTTTTAGATGCACAGCCAGTGTTTAGATGTGGCCAGATAAATCTCAGGGATTTTGTTATTAAAGGAAGAAAGGAGAATGGATTTTGAGGGACAAGTAGAAGCATCTGCCACCCAGGAGTATTGCCAATTCATTATCAACCATCACTGGCTCTACCATTTAATAGCTGCATTATCTTAGGAAACTTACTTGCCTTCTCTCTGCCATTCAATTTCCTCATCTATAACATGAGGATAAAAATATGTCCTAGGATTGACAGGATTACATTAGATAATATATGTAAAGCATCTGCAGCTCAGCAGGTGATTAATCCATGTGCCCTCCCCACACTGGTTTTGAAGGTATTTCTCAAAGAAAACTCCAAAAGTCTGAAGGACAGCAACAAAGTAGACTAGGTCTTGGGTACTGCCTTCCTGGGGACAGCTCTCATTTTGTTGTTTTATAAATCCTTTGTGTGTGGTGGGATGTTTTTGTGTCATTATTTTACAGTTATATCTCATCAAAATGAAGTCAGCAGAGACAAGCCTTTAATTACCTACGTCTGCATTTGAGGAAGCAGTTCAGTATAGCATAGTGCTTAAGAATGCAGAATTCAACGTCAAGCTGCTTGAATCCTAGCTCCACTGACAACTATCGCTGTATCACTGGGCATGTCTTTCAACATCTTTGAGCCTCAGTCTCCTTATCTGTAAAATGGGAATAATAACAGGGTTGCTGTGAAGATGAAATAAGATGATTCACATTATCACCTGGCACATATAAGTATTCAAAATGTTATCTATGTCAAATGTTCCACATTGTACTTTATAAATGAATCTTCAGAATCACCAAATTAACTTCTCAAACACACATAAAAGTAAATCTGTTTATATGCTGGTGAAGTTACAAAGTTAATGAGGTCTTGGGCAAGATTATCCAAATGTAATATACACTGTAAACTCAATTTCCAACCATAAACACAATCTGACAAAACAGTTTTCCACTGCATAGTCTCAAATTCAATTTCTCACCACAAACATGTAAAACAAGCATAGCTGGAGACCAAGGATACATCCATAGGAGATGATAAACCTCATAATTAAAAAGGAGATTATCAGAGGAGAAATTAAAAGGTGAAAGGGTTCTTGCCTTTTGCAGTGAACTAGCCAGGAAGGCAATCCATGATACAGAATGAGAATAAATGTACCTTAAAAACAGGACCTTCATTCCACCTGTATAATTATCTTAGTGCCTTGATGGTAACTGATTTGTTATTCCACAAACTTCTTAACTATGCAAAAGTGTATTTTCACTCTTAAAAGTTCTTGGGTAAAAAATTTTGTTTTCCTCTCCAGGTTTTTCTTTTTCTTTTTCTTTTTTTTTTTAAGATTTTATTTATTTATTTTAGACAGAGGGGAAGCGGGGGAGAGAGAGGGAGAGAAATATCAATGTGTGCTTGCCTCTTCTGCACCTCCCACTGGGGACCTAACCTGGTCCACAACCCAGGGACCTGCCCTGACTGGGAACTGAACCAGTGACCCTTTGGTTCACAGGCCAGCACTCAGTCCACTGAGCCACACCAGCCAGGGCCTCCCGGTTTTTCTTGAGATATTATCGTGGCCCGAAGTCTATGTTTTCAACGTTTTTGACAATGGCATACTCAACTTCTTAAGGTCTATAATTTTTCTGTTACTATTACCTTGATAAAGGGGTAAGTATTCTGTATGATTAGAAGTACATTGTGCTATCCTGGTAAACAGAGTTAGAGGGAGTTAATATAGTGAGGAAAGGGGTCCTAAGTTAGATAAAACGCTTAGCAGTGTACATAAGAACACGAGCTCTGCCCTGACTTTTGTGGCTCGATTGGGCGTCATCCCACAAGGCGAAAGGTCACCTGTTCAATTGGAAACATGATGTTTCAATCCCTTTTTCTCCCTCCCTTTCCCCTTATGTAAAATAAGTAGGTTTTTTTTTTTAATCATTTTAAAAAAAGAACACTAGCTTAATTTATTGAGGCCTATGTACCCGGTCCTGTCGACGCTTTGCATGCATTACCACCCTATGAAAATATACTCTCATCCCGTTTTACAGACAGGAAACTGAAATCTGGAGTGTTCTAATTTACTCAGTTAGTAGTAAGGGCAGGGACCCGGGCCAAGTTCTTCGCTAAACTTGAAGAATTATTATCAAAGGGCGATTGGGAGCAAAGCACTTCGCTCCACCTGGAAATGCGAGGCAATAGGTAACTACTCTCGGGAAAAGAGGGCTGGGATCCCCGTTGTAACGGAAGGTGCAAGGGCAGAGGCCTCACCCAGCAGGCACGGGAAAGCGCATCCGAGCTCAGCAACGATTCCGACTCGGGGTGCCCCGCCCGCTTCTTGGGGGCGGGGACGAAGCGCCGCGCATGCGCCACGGCGGCAGGGCCGGGCCGGAGGCGTGCTCACGCCTGTAGGTTGAATGTCCCGTCTGCGGTCTCTGCTGGGGTTTGGGCTGCTGGTGGTGGGCTCACGCCCGTCACACATCAGAGCTCAGGTCAACATCTGTCGCGCGGGGCCCACGTGGTGGGGGCCGCAGCGGCTGCGCTCGGGGGGCAGCGGGGACCCAGAGGTTATGGCTAGCACCGCGGTGAAGTACTTGAGGTAGGCGGGGCTCCCGTGGGGCGCAGGCCTTGGGCGGACGGGTCTCGCGTGAGCGAGCCCCTGAGCAGAGGATTTCCTCAGCCAGGAGGAGGCTCAGGCTGTGGACGAGGAGCTGTTTAACGAGTACCAGTTCAGCGTGGACCAACTTATGGAGCTGGCTGGGCTGAGCTGTGCTACAGCCATTGCCAAGGTCAGTGGTGCAACTCTTAGGCTGTCTCCTTGGTCGAGGAACAATGGAGGGGGAGGGACAGCTGGGCCAAGCCTGGGCTGTGACGGCCCGAAGCCCCTCTGAATCCCCTGACTCTGCCTTCAGGCATATCCCCCGACGTCCATGTCCAGGAACCCCCCTACTGTTCTGGTCATCTGTGGCCCTGGGAATAATGGAGGAGATGGCCTGGTCTGTGCTCGACACCTCAAACTCTTTGTGAGTATGTGAAGGGCTGTGGAGAGGCTGTGCGGTTTCTAGGAGCTGGGCATGAATTACCTCTTGCCTTTCCTCGTAGGGCTACCAGCCAACCATCCATTACCCCAAAAGGCCTAACAAGCCACTCTTTACTGCACTGGTGACCCAGTGTCAGAAAATGGACATCCCTTTCCTTGGTGAAATGCCCCCAGAGGTAGGTACCTCCGGTTTCAGTGCCCTTCTCCACAATAACAACCACTGTGTCCTGCTCTTCATCTTATCTTCCTCTAGACCAGGGGCGTCAAACTGATTTTCACGTGGGCCACATCAGCCTTGTAGTTGCCTTCAAAGGGCCTAATGTAATTCAACTCTTTAACAGTTACGGAGTTACATTTGTACAGTCCTAAAATTATTTCAGCCCTTTGAAGGAAACCTGGAGGCTGATGTGCCCCCGCCCCCCCACCCGCCCTGAAAATGAGTTTGACACCCCTGCTCCAGACATCAAACTCTGAGAGGGTAAGAATAGTGCCTGGCACTGAAGGTGCCCTGGCGTATGCTATTTGGACAGAAGCGGTGTAAGAGCCTTCTCCTCCTCTGCCAGGTGTGCTCTATGAGTTCCCAACACCACCTCCAAAGCTTCCTTTCCCTTCCATCTCCCCTGGTCACTCCTTTTACTCTGTAGTCCTTCCTCTTCCCCTTCAATGTAGTAAACATATTATCTGCCCCTCTTAGGAACTGAAGTGAATGCCTAAACCCTTTCTCCAGATGCATGGATTTTGGGGTAGGAAACTTGAAGGCTTGTTTTTGTTTTTTTAAATTTCTTAACACATTTTACAGATGAAGAGACTAAGGTGCAGCAAAGGAAGTGATTTGTCCAGAGCCACAGACCAGAACCTGTCCCTCCTGACTCCCAGTCTCAGGCTTTCCCATACTGTGGCCTCCCCAATGACAGGCAGGGAGAACCTGGTGTCTGGACTCGGCTTGGCTTGAATCAGGGACCAACTTACACTTAATTCTAGGCCTCAGAATGCCATCTGAATGAGATAGAACGATATTTGTGCCTCTGTGAGTGGTCTGTGGGCGCAGAGGACAGCCCACTCCTGTTAAGAGCTCTTTGTATTGCTGCTGGCTCTGACATCCTTTACTTTTCCTGCTCTACCACAGCCCATGCTGATTGATGAACTATATGACCTGGTGGTGGATGCCATCTTTGGCTTCAGCTTCAAGGGTGATGTTCGGGAGCCATTCCGCAGTGTCTTGAGTGTTCTGAATGGACTCACTGTGCCCATTGTCAGCATTGACATTCCCTCAGGTGCTGGGTCCAAGGAGGTTGGGATTGGGGTCTTGCCTTGTCTTGAGTTAGGTACCTAGGAGACCTATGTCCTGGCCCAAAGCTCAGACCAAGTCTAAAATGAGTCTAGAGGTGCAGAACATAGTTGAGGAGCAGAGTTCAGGAGCACTCTTTACTTGTTGGCTCTAAGAGACCAAAGCCCAAGGATACACAGAGCTCCAAGGATACAAGTTTCTCTGGTGGGGATGCAGGGAGCTTCCGATTCCTTTAGAACTAGGACAGAGCAAGGTTTGGAAGAGGACTAGACGTCTGGCCTTTTCTGCTCTTCCTGAATACAACCCCTTTTTTAGGATGGGATGTGGAGAAGGGAAACCCTGGAGGGATCCAGCCAGACTTGCTCATCTCCTTGACTGCACCCAAGAAGTCTGCCACACTGTTTACTGGTCGCTACCACTACCTGGGGGGTCGTTTCGTGCCACCTGCTCTGGAAAAGAAGTACCAGCTGAATCTGCCACAGTACCCTGACACTGAGTGTGTGTATCGTCTGCACTAAGAGAATGTGGGTGGGTGTTCTTCTCAATAAAGATTTAGTGCCTCTGTCTCCCAGAACTGTGGAGACCTGAGAGCTATTCTGGCAGCAAAAGTTAATGGATGGCAGGCAACAGTGGAGATACTGTGCCATCTCTGGGGAAGCTGACCAAACGAGAGGTTGCTGTGGCATTTGGGGCAATAAAAATGGACTTTCAGATGCTGAAAAAGGCTCCCAAGTGAGGTGCTTGTCCTTTACACACACACACACACACACCCACACACCTTATCCATTAGGGACACAGACAGGACACTGGAAGCAGGGCAGTGGTTTTCTAAGCTCTCCCTTTCCACTTAACAGTGTAGCAAGACCACAGGAGATTAACAGAAGATATTTCTTCAGAGGCCTCCAAGGAGACTCTTGTATTCAGGGCCTTCCCAGGCTGGGAATGGAGATGCCAGTCACAACATATATAGGGCAGGGGCCCAAACCAACATTTATCAAATCATTTGCCATAGTGTTAGAAACCAGCTCACAGACCTACTTGGCCTCATATAAAAAAAACAAACCAAACAAAAAAACCCAGGACATACCACATAAGTCCACATTTCTAGCTTCTTTTAGTAAGGATACCCATTCAAAAGGTATCTGCATTCCTGTCCCCACAACCCTCACCTCAGCACTCAGCACTCCCTGTCCCTTGGCTGCCTGGCTTCTGCTGGCACTTGTCAGAAGCTGCAAAGGAGAAGATGCCCAGTCCATCAGCTAAGGTATACTGACACCTCTGTCCTCTTCAGCAGGCTGGTATTCCAGAGCTCAGTTTTCTCCTTGGGAAGGACTCCTCACTGGGAGGGTTCAGGAGACCTGCATCAGCTCAGGTCTCTGTGGCTTCAACAATTAAAAAGAAATCGATTGAGCCCCTACCCTGACCTGACCTTCAGTCTCTTTTGTTTTTCTTTTTTTTTGCTCTCTGGTCAGTGCTGACTCTGGCTCTTTCCTCCTCTGCTTGCTTCTGCCTCTTTATCTTCCCTCTGCTGCTTGAGCTCTCCCCAGTGCTACCATCGTCATGTCCATTCCTTATAGCCAAGACATCCTCTTGATGCTGCTGTCTTTTCTTGCTTTTGCTTTTCCTATCACTGCATGCTCTGCTTTCTGCTTCCCTGGTCCCACTGTCTACAACAGCCTCTTCAACTTCTTGATCCTCTGTGTTCAAGTCTTCCTCCTCATGCTGCTGCCTCTTGCTTCTGCTGCATGGATCAGTGTGTGCTCGGCTCCCTACCTCTGTTCCCCATTCTTTACCTAAGACCCTCAGCTTCTCCTCGTGCTGCTGCCTCTTCTTTTTCTTCCTTTTCTTGGGGCACTCATCAGTTTGTGCTCCGCTCTTCAGTTCCCCAAGCTCTCTTGTTCCTATGGCTTCTTCCTCATCCACTATGGCTATTCCCTCTCTATCATCTGTGACCGTTTCTTCTTGATGTTGTCTTTTCTTCTTGCTTTTCCTGATGCTCTGGTCAGTGTGATCTGTGTATTCCTTTTCTGCATTCCTTTCAGTTGCTGTAGCCTCTTCCTCCTTTTTCTGCTTCCTTTTCTTTTTCTTTTTTTTGAGGGGCTTGCACTCACAGTGCGGTTGAGGGATCCCAGGGTCTTGGCCTTTAAGCCGATCCAGGAAGGCCTGCTCCTGGGCCTCCAACCGAGCAAGCTTAGCCTTCATCGTAATCCCAAGACGGGCAGCCCTGAAATAGGGCCGAAGTCAGAGGGAGGATCTTGGGAAAAATAAGCCTAATTCTTGAGACTGCAGGGGAAATTGGTAGGGGAGGAGCTGTCTATCTTCAAGCAGCTTCAGAGATGGGCAGATAGTATGAATCATTTCCCTGGGGTGAAAGAGAGTCAAGAAATGGCACTCACAGCTAGTGGCCGGGGAGTGGGGGAAGATTAGGAGGTGGAGAGATTGAGCAAAAAGGAAAAAGGACTCATGGACAACAGTGTGATGATTACTAGGGGGGCGGGAAAAGGGTATAAGGGGACTAAATGGCAATAGGGAAAAAAACAGAATAAAGATTAAATTTTTTTTAAAAGTGGCATACGCTATCATCAGGGGTAGGCTTATGATGGGGAGATAAGGGAGACCTGGGAGCTATTACTTACTTGTGTGCTGTTCGCCCCTCACAGGCTTGGAGCAACATCTCATCAGTCAGACTGTTGGGGGTTGGGGGAGAAATCAGGAATTACAAACATCTGGTAGAAAAGGCTGACCTTTCCTCCCCTCTAAAACATTTTCAACACTGAGTTCCTATTCAGGACCTGGTATTTTTCTAGGTACAGGGGATACAAAGATTAGTACAACCCGAAGAAGCCCACAGTCAAACATTAGACTTGGTCCTTTCTCTTGAGATCTGAAGCATTTCCTACCTGACCCCAGCACTAAAATGAAGTCTCACATTTTTGGAGGCTGAGGCCCCTGGTTGTTGTCATCGCTGCAGCTTTCCAAGTCCTTGTCTGGCTTCTCCCCACCTGAAGTCAGTGTGGCCATCTAGGAGGAGGGATCATGAGGTAGACAAGTCCATTCAACACCAATGCCATCCCTTTTCCTTCCTGGAACTCCCCTCCCCCAGCAATCAACCATACACACAAATTTGCCACCCCTCAGTATTGCTCCTTGTAGACCCACAGAGAGGTGCAACAGACTGGATACTTCAACTTGGACAGGAGGAGGGGTGTGGGGATGGGGAGTCCTGGGTAGTGAGCAGAACCAGGGAGAAACTACTGTGGGCCATCAGGTCTTCACCATGGGACAAGTGCCCCCTGGTGGTCATTCCAAGGTCCTTAGTAACTGACAATAAAGATGGCCTCCCCCCCGCCCCCACTCCCAACACCTATGCACAGTACTTTATTTGACCAGATTGAGAACCTACTGTGGGCCAAGTGTTGGGGATACAAAGTGGAATAAGGGTGAGATGTGTCCCACCCAGATAGAACCTACATGGTGAGGAGGAAAGGAGTAGAACAGAACATTGACAATTACAATGAAAGTTTGCCTGGGCTAGTGGAGTGGTACCTGCTCAGACTTCAGAGTTTGGGGAATAATTTCTAGAAGTAGCTGAGCACTGGGAGACAAGAAAAAATCAGGTAAAGGAGGAAAGGGAGTGGAATGCCCCAGGCAGAGGGAATAGCATGTACAAAAACTTGAAGGTGGAAGAACATGCTAACTTAAGAATGATTCCATCTGGCTAACATATAGAAATCCTGAGAGACGTGGCAAGAGGGCGGTGGGGTAGAGAAGTTGGCAGGGACAAAGCTTGAAGGGCCATATAAGCCAGTCTGATAAATTCAGCCTGTGTCATACTAAGTCAAGGAGGAGTCAGTGACACAATGAATTCAGAACGCTCTGAATGCTTTGTGTAGGATGAACTGATTGGAGTGTGGAGTGAGATTACAAGTGATGAGTCTGGTTATGAAGCCATAGAAGAAATTAGGCAGGAGATGGTGATGGTCTGGGGTGGAAGATGGCCACAGAGATGAACAGAAATGGTAAAGATATGCTAGTTACCATATAGAGCCCTTGGTACACAATAGGTGATTAGTAAATATTAGCTCCCTTCTATTGGTATGTTAGTAGGCGGGAGTCTGAAGACCTGAATTCTAGTCCTGTCTGCCATTACTAGCAGGCTGTGGGCTCTTCAGCAAGTCTTTCTTCCCACCTTTTGGCCACATGTGCAAAATAAAAAGGATGGATCAGATAATCTCTCAGGTCTCTGACTTCTAAGTCCTTTGAATTGGACAGCCCCTCCCTGCCCCACTCTGGCAGCTCCCGCCTATGCCCTACCTCCCACTCCGTTGCTGCCCCCTCAGCTGAAGGTAGGGGTCCATATAACCTGAAGATCTCAATTCTTTTTTTTTAAAAACATATTTTTAAAAAGATTTTGTTTGTTTATAGAGAGGGAAGGGGGAGAGAGAGAGAGAGAGAGAGAGAGAGACAGACAGACAGACAGACAGACATCAATGTGCGGTCGCTGGAGGTCATGGCCTGCAACCCAGGCATGTGCCCTGACTGGGAATTGAACCTGCGACACTTTGGTTCCCAGCCCTCGCTCAATCCACTGAGCTACGCCAGCCAGGGCATAAGATCTTAATTCTTGCCTAGAGGTGGGGCAGTCTAATTAAGCAACAGCAAGGTTAGTTGTAGGATCCCACTATCTTAGGATGGTACTGAGAATAGGTAGGGCATACAAGGCAATTGTTCAGGCCCCACAGAAGAGTAAAAAAGGATGAACCCTCTCACCCCCAACCTCTAATACCTTCACAAACTTTTGATACAGCAAGTTGGGCTTGGGATGATTATGACGGGTGGTCTTCTTAGAAAGGTGCTTTATCTGTACTCCATCCTGTGGGGAAGTATCAGTGAGTTGATGACATACCATGTCTCCCTCACCTCCACATGTCCCAGGCCCTCATGCTTCATGTGCCCATCTATTAGAGTTCATACCTGTCTAGTTTCAACTACCAAGTTGGCTGCAGTTTTGTTGAAGAGCTCATTCCACCAGTGGTTTGTGAACTCCTTGGAAGGGTCATGTCCCACCTGCCAAAGGAAGAAGTATCTGAACCTACCTCCCTGTCCTCAAGGGTTCCCCTCTGCCATCCATACACCCCCAGCGTGCCCAGTCTTACCCCATGAGTATCCTGTTTTAGCTTTACCCTGAGGGCCTGGGTGATGCCATTCTCCTTTCGGCCCAGGCCTTTGCCTACAGAAGACAGTGAGTGACTTAGCTTATTCTGCCTGCCCATACCCTCACAAGGCACCCCCTTACATGCCACTCCTTGCCATTCCACACATCTACCATTGGGCAAACTCCATCTCTTTTGGAAGCCCTCCCAGTACTTTCTAGCACCTCTCCATGCAATCCCCCGCCTTTATCTGGAGCCAAGCTCTTTTCCTTCATTAATTCCTTTGGGGCAGAGGTCATGTTTCTTCCCCTCTGCTCCAATGCTCCCAACCACTTATTTCTTACTATCCATCGTCAAATTTATTGCTCTTCTCTCTTTTTCTGTAAATGTCAAATATTCTTCTGCAAATTTCCCTTTAAGCTAGCTTTTCCTCCTCCAGTTGAATGGACTACATAGAGATAATCGAGGATGATGCCTCTTCCCAGAGGGTGGGTAGTGAATTGGGGTGATGCGGAAGGTGCCCCATGGGGATCACCTTGAGTCCAACCATGCTTTAGCAGCTGCTCCTCAGCAAACTTCATCCCACGACTCTTGACCTCTGGGGTGATGACACTCATGATGAAAAAAAAGTAACTGTCTTCAGGTCCTCATCAAAGAAGAGGTCACTTATCCCTTTAAGAGGAAAAGAGAAAGGGCCACATCATACATCAAATTCCCCCTGATTGCTTTTATAAGTATTATTTCCTGAGGCTGAGGCAGACAGGTTCAGAGGCTTGGTCCTTGGGGAGCTTCCTGTCTGACCACAAAGAGGTCAACATCAACATGTCAAAAGGTATTATTAATACCTACACTTCTGGAGAGCTCACCTACCACATGCCAGGCTGTGCTAAGGCCTTACATGGATTGTCATTTAATCTTCCCAACCCAGGATGATTTCCTGAATTTTACATTCAGGAAAGTATGATTATCCCTATTTTACAAATGAGGAAACAGGCCTAAAGAGGTTAGATGATTTGCTCAAGGTCATGCAGCTAATGTATATAGAACTGAAACCTAGGCAGCCTGTCTGAGAGGCACCCCAACTCTTCACCACTACATGAAAACATCTGCCATGCAAAAACAAAGCAATGAGATGTCTGTTAACCTGAGTTAAAACAGTACTTAATAGAGCCCATATCCTATACCTGTGTCATAGCAGTTACACTGTCCTCTTGGTGTAGGGGCTACGCATCTCTACCCCACTGCCACTGTCTTTCAGCCTTGTTGGAGCACCCCTCCTGAAATTGTCCAGCTTAAGAAGGGTATTCTTACTGAGCATTTGATGCACAGCAGCTGGATTATACATATTATACTGTCTCATTTAATCCTGACAATCCTGTCAAGTTATCCTTTTTTTTACAAATGAGGAAACAAAGCCTGTGTTTCTTGCCTGAGGTTACAGAGCTAGTAAGAGATGGAGCTGGAACATGAGCCCTGGTTGCCTGACTCTAAAGTGTTCTTTCTATCACATCCCCAACTAATTGCATTTTTAAATTAAATTTAATTTTTTTAAGATTTTATTTATTATCAGAGAGAGGGGGAAGGGAAAAGAGGGAGAAAAACACTGATGTGTGAGAGAAACATTAATCAGTTGCCTCTCACACACCCGCAACTGGGGGCCTGGCCCACAACCCAGGCATGTGTCCCCGCAGGGAATCAAACCAGTGCTCTTTCAGTTTGCAGGCCGACACTCAATCCTCTGAGCCACACCAGCAAGGGCTAACTGCATTTTTTTAATAGTCACTCTGCTGTTCCTCCTTTTGGACTCCAAAGTGGCATTATCAAACTATATACCAAATTTACCTCTGAAATGGTTAAGATGGCTTATCACACAAGACATTCAAAACTACTACCACTGCTGACTTGACTCACTAAAGCTAACCTGTATTAAGATAATTTATTACAGGCACTGCAGACCATTTTTAAAGCTGAACAACAATGAATGGCACTACTAAGGTAACCCTGTAGCCTCTCAAAATGACAGCTCTGAAGGTAAAACTTTCACGTGAGTTTTAGGAAGGTCTAGTAAGTATACTTTAAAAAAAATCAGATGCATCATTAAGTCACCCCTCCTAAACATTATATGTTACATTTGCAGAGTGGCAAATGAAGACCAACTCACATTTCGGTTCACATTTCTATTGTGAAGGACGATTACCTGTCAACCTAGTTGATACCTTGAGAGTCCAAACAGAAAAGCATTGAGTGAAGTGGTCCTATCTTGCTACTTGATACTGTCAAAAAGAATTAAAATTCAAACAATGAGGCCTTTACGGTCCCTCAAAACTCTGCCTCTTCTCAGAAGTTATCCCTGATCTTTCAGTCCCCAGACTTCAATAACAGTATTATTACTTACTGCATTTTACTTGATGTATTTACTTATGCAAATACTTATACACTTACTTGATGACAGCCTGTTGCTAATTGCTTGACACAGATTATCTTATTTAATCATCCAACAACCCTTTTAGGACATGGTATTACTGTAATTTGCAAACGAAGAAATGGCACTGAGAGGTTTAGTTACTTGTCCAAATCAAGTAACTGGCAAATAGCTGACCCAGGATCCCAGGCATTCCAGAGCTGGTATTCCAGTAATCATACATTCCTCAGTCTCTCACAGCTCTTTGTGATTTCTGTTGTTAAGTCTTACCACAGCCTATCCCGTGTCATGGTAATTCGAAACAATACGCCCGGGACTGGGAGTCAGAGCGGCCTTCCTTCCCCAACCCCAGTGCACTCGGAGAATGAGAAGGCGTCCAGGCGTTATTTGCTGAACTGAATGGCATAGGTGAAGTACTTAACAATGGATACCTGGGGACAAAAGCAACTAGGTTCCAGGCTCTGCGCTGCAGTCTTTGCGAGCACACGTTCAGAAACTCTCTCCAGTCAACCCAAGTTTCCTGGGGTGGTCCAGGGCCACTCTTTTTACTGAGGTTCTAAAGAGCCAACTAAAACTTTTCCCTCAGCTTCCTTTCTGTTGAAGTCTAAATACCAGCCCTCCCACCCCAGTTTTACTTGGAGCACCACCTGCCACCTCTCAAGAGACAGTAACCCCTTACCCTCAGTCACTTATACGGCCCTCTCCGCAACACACACGCCAGGTCCGACCGCTATGCCGCCATCTTCCCGGAAGTGTCATTTTGGTCCTTCTATCCTGTTGAAAACCATAGAGAGGAACGCAGGAACCAACGTCCCAGTCCTCTGGGGAGAAGCAGTATGGGAGGTGGGCCTACTTGCTGGTATATTTGCGGAAGAAACCCATCCTCAGAGCGTCTCATGGTGCCGAATCATACTCATACTCACACATTCTCTCCTTGGTTGCCTGAGAGATGCATGGCTGATCATACACTCATCAATATGAAAGACTTGTCAGGTAAAAAACCGAAGTTTTGTTTGACAGCTGAGACATTTTCACCCCATGAACAACTTGGTTGAGAACCGAATTGTTGGCAATAGTAGACATTCAAGAACTGAGGTTTATCCCTGGCTGGTGTGGCTCAGTGGATTGAGCACTGGCCTGTAAACCGAAATGTCACTAGTTTGATTCCCAGCTGGGAACATACCTGGCACATACCTGGGTTGTTGGCCAGGTCCCCAGCTGGGGATGTGCGAGAGGCAACCATCCAACATGTCTCTCCCTCTCTGCCCTCTCTAAAAGTTAAAAAAAAAAAAAGGAACTGAGGTTTGAGTCTAAAGCTTTGTCATGGTTGCTCAGTGTGTCATACTCCCTATGCCCATAAAACTTTTGAAAGAAATTTCCACAGAATTAATTTTACTTTGAAAATATGCTATATAGGGACAATACTAAGCAACAGATTTTGTTAGTGGAATTTTAGATGATTGCAGAAGGGATGTGAGGTGCTTTAAAGGTCCTCCTCAGAGGATGAATTATTGAATAGAGGAACATTCTGTGAATGGGAGTCAGAACTGAGTCATTTTTCCCCCTCAGTCCCTCATTGTGTGACCTTGAACAAGTCACTCTCTTGCTCAAGAGCACCTTTTCCTTGGTCTATACAATTGGAATAATAGACTAGCTCTTTTTAAAATATTTATTTATTTTTAGAGAGAGGGGATGGGAGGGAGAAAGAGGGAGGGAAACATCACTGTGTGGTTGCTTCTCAAGCACCCCCCACCAAGGGCCAGGTCCACAACCGAGGCATGTGCCCTGACTGGAACTCAAGCTAGCGACCCTTTGGTTCTCAGGCTGGCACTCAATCCATTGAGCCACATCAGACAGGGCCAATCAATCCTTTTTACAACTTGGTTTCATTGTGGTATCTTGGGCCACTGAGAAAATTCCACAATTCCTCAATTTCTACCATCTTCCCTTCTATCTCTGCGATCTATCGACTTATCTATTTAATATCATATGTTACACTGTGGTTATAAAAGAAGAATTGAAAACTCCTGAATGAGGCAACCCCCAGGGCCCTTCCAGCCCAGTTATTGTGTGGCACACTTGGCAGAATCCTGGCCATAGTTCTTTGTCTCAAGATTCCTAGTTTGGTCTAGGACCTTGAACTCCTGACTCACTCTCTCAATAAACATTTATTAAGGGCCTCCTGTAGATGAAAGGCTAGAGGTGTAAACACATTTAGCCCTTGGTTTCCTGTTGCATCTTATGATCTTGTGGAGGTATGTATAACAATCACTGAGTGATGAGGGCAATGGCAACTTCAGGACAGTGCTGTGGGAAGTAAGATGAGAAGTACTTGACTTGCTCTAGGACCCTGGGAGCTTCCTGAAGGAGATACAGACTTAACCTGGGGATTACATGGATTCACAAAAGAAGAGGAATGGGCCTCAAGGAATTTAAAGTTTCTTGGGATCACATACCTCCTCACAAGAGTAGGAATAAAGGCCATTATAAGAGAACAAGAATACATGAATAATTATAAGAAAATAATTTGAAATGTAGACATGGCAAGATGCATGTTAATATTTATAAAATGGAAAAGTTGTAAAGCACCTAAATATCTCATAACAAGAGAATGGCTAAATAAATTATAGTATAACCATATAATGGGCTGATATGTAGAATTTTCTTTTCTTTTTTATTTTATTTTCTTTTATTATTTATTTTTCAATTTTTTATACCACCTGACCCCAGACTGACGCAAGCCGGCTAGACTTTGAAAATGATGTTGAAGAAGGAGACTTAATAGCTTGGGGGAAAAGGTCTAGAATATAATTGAAATGAAAAAGCAGATACAAATGTTATGTACCTATAGTAAAAGCCCATCTATGTTAAAAATTCATAGGCAGGACTTCTGGCCAAGATGGAGGCATAGGTAGACACACTCAGCCTTCTTGCACAACTGAAATAAGGACAACAACAATTTAAAACAAAATAAGAACCAGAACTGATAGAAAATTGAACTGTATGGAAATCTGACAACCAAGAAATTAAAATAGACACATTCATCCAGACAGGTAGGAGGGGCAGAGTCAGCAGCCAGGCAGAGAGGGGTAAAGGAAAAAAAAAAAGCAGTGGCACTGGGCATGCAGGGCAGCAGCTGACAAACCCTGGGCACATAAGACAGCAGCGGGAGGACCCACTGAAACGGCAATTGTGAAGTGGGGCACAGTGTGCAAGGCGGCTGGCTGACCAGGAGTTCCCACATTCTCACATGCAGATAAACCAGGTGAAACCAGGGAGCGAGACAGACCACGCAACCCAGGGTCCCAGTGTGGGGGAAATAAAACCTCAAAACACTGATTGAAAACACCCATGGGGGTTGAGGTGCCGGAAGAAACTCCCAGCCTCACAGGAGAGTTCATTGGAGAGACCCACAGGGTCCTAGAACATACACAAGTCCACCAACAAAGGAATTAGCACCAAAAAGGCCAAGTTTGCTTGTGGGAAGAGGCAGAAGGGACTGAAATCCAGCAGAGAGCAGAGCAATCACCATTGTTCCCTCTCAGACCCCACCCCCACCTTCAACGTCACAACCCATTGACTGAGTTGCCCCACCCTGGTGAACACCTAAAGCCCTGCCCCTCACATGTAACAGGTGCAACAAGACAAAAAAAATGGCTCAAATGGAAGAACAGATCAAAGCTGCACAGCAAGTACAACTAAGCAACCAAGCGATAGCCAGCCTATCAGATGCATAGTTCAAAGCACTGGTGATCAGGATGCTCACAGAATTGGTTGAATTTGGTTGCAAATTAGGTGAAAAAATGAAGGCTATGCTAAGTGAAATGAAGGAAAATGCATAGGGAACCAACAGTGATGGGAAGGAAACTGGGACTCAAATCAATGGAGTGGACCAGGAGGAAGAAAGAAACAATCAAACAGAAAAGAATGAAGAAACAAGAATTCAAACAAATGAGGAGAGCCTTAGGAACCTCCAGGACATCTTTAAACATTTCAACATCTGAATTCTAGGGGTACTAGAAGGAGAAGAGGAAGAGCAACAAGTGGAAAAGTTATTTGAACAAACCATAAAGGAGAACTTCCCCAATCTGGCAAAGGAAATAGATTTCCAGGAAGTCCAGAAAGCTCAGAGAGTCCCAAAGAAGTTGGACCCAAGGAGGAACACACCAAGGCACATCATAATTACATTAGCCAAGGTAAAAATGAAGGAAAGATTCCTAGAAGCAGCAAGAGATAAGGGGACAGTAACCTACAAAGGAGTTCCCATCAGACTGTCAGCTGATTTCTCTAAAGAGACTTTACAAGCAAGAAGGGGCTGGAAAGAAGTATTCCAAGTCATGAGAGGCAAGGACCTACATCCCAGATTGCTCTATCCAGCAAAGCTTTCATTTAGAATGGAAGGGCAGATAAAGTGCTTCTCAGATAGGGTCAAGTTCAAGGAGTTCATCATCACCAAGCCCTTATTTTATGAAATGTTAAAGGGACTTATCTAAGAAAAAGAAGATAAAAAACATGTACAGTAAAATGACAGCAAACTCACAATTATTAACAACCATACCTAAAACAAAAACAAAAAGAAACTAAGCAAACTAGAATAGGAACAGAACCACAGAAATGGAGATCACATAGAGGGTTATCAACAGGGGAGTGGGAGAAGGAGAGAGGGGGAAAAGGTACAGAGAATAAGTAGCATGGATGGTAGGTAGAAAATAGACAGGGGGAGGGCAAGAATAGTATGGAAAATGTAGAAGCTAAAGAACTTATGACACATGGACATGAACTAAAGGTGGGGAATGTGGGTGGGAGAGGGTGTGCAGGGTGGAGGGGAATGAAGGGGGGGAAATGGGACAAATGTAATAGTACAATCAATAAAATATATTTTTTAAAATTCATAGGCAATAGCATAATAAAAAGGAATAAAAACATTTAGGAATTTAACAAAATGTGACAAAAGAGGTGCCCTGGCAGGTGTGGCTCAGTGGGTTGAGCGCTGGACTGCAAAGCAAAGGGTTGCCAGTCTGATTCCCAGTCAGGGCACATGCCTGGGTTTCCGGCCAGGTCCCCGTAGGAGGCACAAGAGAGGCAACCACACATTGATGTTTCTTTCCCTTTCTTTTTCCTTCCCTTCCCCTCTCTTTAAAAATACATGAATACACATTTTTTTTAAAAAAGGAAGTATAAGACATACACTGAAAACTAAAAAATGTCATTGAAAGAAATTACAGAAGGTCTACACAAATGAAAAGATATCCCATTCATAGTTTGGAAGACTTCATATTGTTAAGATCACAATAATCTCCAAACTGTTCCACAGATTCAATACAATCTCTATCAAAATCCCAGCTGAGTTCTTCATAAATTGACAAACTGATTCTAAAATTTATATGGAGGCCCTGGCTGGCAGTTCAATTGGTTGGAGCATTGTCCTGGTCAGAGCACATATAGGAATCAAGCAATGAATGCATAAATAAGTGAAACAAGTCTACTTTTCTCTTTCTCTCTCTCATCAACACATTTAAAATTTTTTTAAATTTTAATTTCATATGGAAATGCAAAGGACTCTGAAAAGCCAAAACAATCTTGAAAGAAAACAGTTAGGGGATTAACACTTTCCAATTTCAAAACTTACTACAAAAATACAGCAGTCAAGACTGTGGTTCTGGCACAGGGTAGATGGAACAGAATTGAGAGTCCAGAAATAAACCCATCCATTTATGTGCAATTAATTTTTAACAAGAATGCCAAGACAATTCAATG